TGTGGCTTGTTGGGTTCCTGGCGCCCCCAACGCCCCCTGCCGCCCCCAAGCGCCTGGCGGTGTGCCCAACACATAATAAATACTTTTTTGAGAATCTGAACTGAAAGGACACGGCGTGAGACACGGTGAATTCTTTACCAAAGCCTGTTAATTCGTTAGTGCGCCTTTTCAAAAATGAGTGCTTTCTTTTCAAAAATGAGAGTTCACAGAGAGTTTTAGAGTACAAACGCTTGGCTTCCAAACAGCGCATAGGCGACGTGTTCTGCTTTCGAAGCACCCCAGTGACTTTTCAGATGGAAAAGGAGGGGAGGGATGAGTCAGCTCTCCAACGTGCCCGCAGCAGAGGGGAAGCCTCTCCCCTCACCTGGTCAGGCCTCTAAGCGAGCTCATGCCATTTCAGAGCAGTCGCTGTGTGTCCAGCCCAGAACACCCACTGACGTGATTAAAAGATGACAGCACAGCCGTCTCCCCTTCCCTTTGTCCTGGCTGGCACAGTGTGTTGGAAAGGAGAAACCATGTGGCCAGCCTTTGTTTGAAAGCAGCTCTGATTTACACACCTTAAAACCCATTGTGATCTCCCATTTGCTGCATTCTCCCTAGTTGTGGGAAAAAAGGTCACAGTGTATTTACTGCACATATTTATGAGAACCTGTCTCGCTCACCGACTTGTTTCTGATCCTCCCGGAGGTCCTTGGTCGGGCGTCTGCCCCGGCCTCATGCCAGGGAGTGAGTGTCCCCGGGCGCTCGCTGCCCACAGAGCTCATGCTTCTCAGACCTGAGTCCCACCAAAGGAACCAGTGCCAGGAACCATTTGTCATGACTTCTGGTGGTGGGATGGTAGTCATAATGTATTCAGCAAAACCAAAAACAAGGTGTGATAACAACCTGAAATAAGAATAAACTCGAGAAGCGTAGTTTCAGTAAAGGACGCTTTATATGCTGTATTAGTAATTTTTATTTTTCAAGCTGAGCAATGCATGCTTGATGTATATTTGATCATGAATCCTTGTTAACAGTCCTTACGTGGTAAGTCCTGGGCCGGAAACACCCAGGCCATCGGGGTGGTTGGATCCGGGTGGGATCCCAGTCGCTCTCAAACCTGAGGCTGTGCTCTTAAGCGTTCTGTATGGCGCAGGTCAGCTTTCCTGCTAAAAGGAAACCACAAGATGAGCCCAAGTATAGAAAACCATTGACAGAGCCACGGCAGGGTGTCTGTCATGCTCCTCAGCCCTACAATTCCTACTGGGAAGTCGTGTGTGGGCCGCCTTGGGCAGGAAGGCACCCGGCCCCGTGGGGTGTATGTGTGGAAGGCTGTAGCTCTAAGAAAACCCGTGTCTTTCCGACTGAAGAAGTCTGTGGTCTGAGGCTGCTTTATCACCCCTGGTACTTCTTCAGTGTTACTGTCCACACGATTGAAGTGATAATTTCTGCTTTTGCAGACAGATTCATTCGTTCAGCAATCCGTTGGGCATGTAAAGTGTCAGGGACAATTTCAGACTCTGTAGATACCAAGAAAGTTGAGGCAGACAGTACGGTCAGGATGACATCGGACTCAGGGCAGGCATTGGCACTAGTGGAACAGCAGGAAGAGTTTAGTGATAGAGTCACTGTGTTTGAGACACAGTCCGCTGAGAGAGGATGGTCTTTTCTACAGGTGGTGCAGAAATGGCTGGATGTCCGTGTGGGGAGATCCCTCCCTCACGCCGTACACAGAAGTAACTGGAATGGGTCCGTGGCAAAACTGAAACTGGGAAGGGACACAAGGGAACTTTTGGTCGTGTTGGAAACATTCTATATCTTGTTTATCGTGGTGGTTATGTGAGTGTATAAATCTGTCAAAGCCTATTAAAATGCACACGTAAAATGGGCACTTTTTTAATTTGTAAATTATGCCACAGTAAAGTTGATCTTAAGAAAGACAAATCATATCCTGTCCCTTCCCTGCTTAACATTTTTCAATGAACGTCAGCTAAAATCCAGATTCCTTACTCTGTCCTCCAAAGCCCTAGGTGATCTGGGCCCATCTCGTAGCGCCCCGTTTCCTTTGGTTGTCGGCTCTTCCTGGAATGCTCTTCTCCGGGGTCTAGGCATGGTTGATTCCCAAAGAGCCCTCAGCTCTGGGGCCACCTCCTCAGTGAAGTTCTCCTGGATTGCCAGCTGTCACGGAGGACCTGGCTGGGGCTGGCGACCGTCCTCTTATTCTTGTGGTCACGTCATGGGTGTAGGATGCCCACCCAGTCCTGCTCCGGTCTCCAAGGAGTAGGAGCTGGGACGGCAAGCGATGGGTGGATCGCGGCTGGGCGCTGGCAGAGGGATTGTGGCGGGAGAGTGAGAGCTGAGGGTGCAGGGGGTGCAGTCCGTGTGCCCGGGTGTGGGCAGGGGGCGGAAAGGAAGTGAGCCAGCTGGGTGAGAGGGAGGACCTGAGGAGAGTAGGACGGCCAGGAAGCCCAGTGAGGGGACTGAGAAGGTGGGGTGCAGGGAAAGACGGGTATTGAGAACTTCAGAATGAACTGGAACTTCAGAATTTAGAATTTGGAGAGAAGAAGGGTCCTGGGTGTGGCCGTGTGATTAGTGGATGAAATGGAGAGTAGAGGTGTAGGTGAAGGTTAGATCCTTGGGTGAAGAAGTGCAGCCACCCGTCATGTCACCCCCTGCATCCAGGGAGGCAGGTGAAGATGGAAAGCAAGGCATTCAGCGAGGGATGAGGGCAGGTGGCGCGGGTCGCCCGGAAGCTCCAGGAGCCGGGGCAGTTGCCTGAAAGGGGAAGGGGGTGTCCTGGTGGGGGTGAGGGGGACACCGCCCTGGTTCTGGGGGGCCCTTCCGATGTGGCAGAGCCCAGGTGCTCACTGCAGGAGCTGGAATTCATTTCGGCCAGCAGAGAGGTTAGGAGGGCCCAGGTGCACCACCGGTGTCCACGACGGGGACAGGTGAGGGATGGGAGGAGGCCTCGAGGTGCGGGATGAAAGAAGCAGGGGTCAGCTTTTTTTTTTTTTTTTTTTTTTGCGGTACGCGGGCCTCTCACTGTTGTGGCCTCTCTCGTTGTGGAGCACAGGCTCCGGACACACAGGCTCAGCGGCCATGGCTCACGGGCCCAGCCGCTCCGCGGCACATGGGATCTTCCCAGACCGGGGCACGAACCCGTGTCCCCTGCATCGGCAGGCGGACTCTCAACCACTGCGCCACCAGGGAAGCCCGGAGTCAGGTTTTGAGCCCCAGGAAGTCGTGTGGTACAAAGTTAACATGTTCCTGCTAAGAGTCATATGTTTCAGTAGCAAAAATAACAGACGTGTATCATCACGATTTCCATGAATATTTGGAACATCTTCTGAATTTGTGTGCTATTTAAAAATTACACAGATGTGTACTTTAGCTGGGTTTCTAACATTTTATAAATAATCCTTTTAAAGTATGGGCGCTAACATTTCGTGGTTTTTTTTTGTTTGTTTTCTTTACAGAGGTTCTTAATCCAGAGCCAACTCCATGGACCCAGGCCGGGTTTGGCCCTTGGCCTGCTGTGAGCAGGGTGTTGTCTGCTAGAAGACTCCCCTGGCCCACCTGCTCTGGTGCCTTGCAGAGCAAGCGAAGAGGATGGACGGAGTGACGCGCCCTCTGCCTGTGTGCCTGCTGCCTTCTGCGTCCTTGTTAATCCTAGTGTCCACTCTGGCGACTGCTAAGAGTGTGGCCAACAGCACTTTAAATGGCACTGACATGGTCGTGGGCTCAGTGCCCGTGGTCATTGCCAGAACCGACCATATCATCGTCAAGGAAGGGAACAGTGCCTTGATCAACTGTAGCGTGTATGGCCTCCCTGAGCCCCAGCTCAAGTGGTATAACTCCGTGGGCAAGCTGCTGCATGAGGACAGCAAGGACCGAGGGGCAGGTAGGCTGTTCAGTCGTGTCCCGTGTCAGAAACTACGGGGAGGGACTTGGGGGCCGGCACCCTCAGTGTCCGTTGTTCTTATGCAGATCGTTTCAACATCTCCTTTTGTCTTATTCTTCTAAGGCAAGAGAGAGATATCCAAGAAGTAGATATCCTTAAGGGTTCAAAGCAGTAATGAATTCATTCTTCCACTCTTGACTCAGAAGACAAAACGCAAACAGCTTCTCCCCTCTAATGAAAGTATCACAGTAACGAAAATATTGTATGTATTGTTTGAGTCTTTTAAAAGGCCTCTTGGAATGTTGCAGTATAACGCGTACAGGATGTTGTAGGGGTAGATGTAAAGTGGATTTTCCTTAAGTATGTGTTCTGTGTATATGGGAGTTTTAATTTGTTTCAAGGAACATAGCAGTTGTCTATCATTAAAGGTCAGTTTAATGCGTGGACTGTGGGTTTAAAGGTCACATCTTTTGAGAGCAGTCTCTGCAGCTTCTCACCAGCAGCCAGAGATCATGTGTGCTCCCGGGGACCTGGCTGAAGTTTCTAGACTGTTGGCCAGGGGGGAGAAATAACCCGTGGCATAGGGGCAGTGCTTGGCTTCTCATGAATGAGTTTCTGGCCAAAAGGTGCACATCCCCTTCCCACATACCAGATCACTTCAGGAAGGACTGTGGCCGGAGCGGGGCACTGTGGGCCCTCAGGAGTCTACATGCTTCCTATCTCAGGTGTGAGAACCAAGCCTGATTGATTGACCTGAAGGCCCGGGATGTACTTTCTGAGCATTTCCAGTAATGACCTGGCAGGTGGGCGTGAGGGTGAAAGGACCCGGATCTGACTTAGCAGCTGCTCCGTTTCTGCCGCCCTTTCCCTCGTGTACCTCCGAGCCCACAGCCCTCTAACCCCCAGAAGAGTCTCTGCCCCAGGAAGGCCTGCATTGCTAATCTCTTTTCCTCATTTTATCTTAATTGCTCTGAAAAAGAGCAGAGGCTGGGACTTCCCTGGCGGTCCAGCGGTTAAGACTTCGCCTTCCAATGCAGGGGATGCGGATTTGATCCCTGGTCGGGGAGCTTAGATCCCACATCCTGTGCGGCCAAAAAGTAAAAACACAGAGCAGAAGCAACATTGTAACAAATTCAATAAAGACTTTGAAAATGGTCCACATCAAAAAAATCTTAAAAAAAAAAAGAAAGCCCAGAGGCTAACACTGCGTCTCCTTAGGTACCGGGTGATGGGGTGTCTGACACGTCCAGGCTTCGGCTCCCAGTCATGCCCCGACATTCACTGCCTGTGCTGCTCCTTACACGGCCGTTCAAGGCCAGGCAGCGTCATGCAGCTTCTCCCCTCCAGTGCAAGTCTCATGGTCACGAAAATACCATGTGTACGTTTGCATGCTTCACCTGGCAGAGGGGAACTCCCTCCCCACCAAGTAAAACGATGGGACCGCAGAACTTTCCCATTAGAAGGGACCCTGGAGACAGTGCAGTCCCAACCCCTCTTTTATGTGACTTTTCCCCGGTCCTGTGGTCATTAAGTGGCTGTGACTGGACCGTCCGTGCTGACAGTGGGCAGATGGGACGGCGCAGCCCCTTCCTCCTACTGCAGGACAGGATGAAGTGACGTCACACCTGTGCAGGGGCGGTGACCATGGCAACGTGTACACACTCAGGTCCCTGGACCCCACCGGGTCTTTCTGCTGGGCTGGCCTCAGGGAGGATTCTCGGGGGACCAGGGACTCCAGACCGAGCCTGCGGCTCCCGTGGGCCCGGAGCAGAGGTGGTCCCGGGTATAAAGACCCAGGGTGGGGCTCTGAGCCCTGTATCCGGGAGAGGAGGGAAGCGTGGGAACAGAGTGGGGCTGGGGCCTGGACCTCAACCGTGGCTTTGTGAGGGCTGCCTTGGAGTCGTAGTGGCCCCGCCAGGGAGATTGCGCGAAGTCTTGATGGTAGGGGTCCAGCCTTGGCAAGTGGCCTCCGTATGTCGTTTCTCTCATTGGGAGGTTGGCAGAGCCGGGGTCCCCTGGGCTCACTTCTCTTCCGTCCGTGGGCGCCAAGAGAGGAAGGGGCAGACACCAGTGCCTCGGAGACAGAGCCTGGGCGCAAGGCGGGGCATCAGAAGCCTCTGGGCATGCTTGTGGCCAGTGGCCGTGCTGAGAAATCCGTTGGCTGTTCTCAAACCTCGTAAGGAAAACACACTGTGGAGTTTGTAAAAGAACTGGTGATCCTGGCCCTTGATGTTCCAGCTCAGCTTTGGTAGTCACCGTACATAGTAACAGGCATTTCAGGACACAAGTAACACGGAGCAATATTCAGACCAACCAGGCAAGACAGGGGAAACGGCAGAACATTTATCCTCATCATAAAATACGTGCATGGTGGTGCCACTCGAGGACCCGTGGTCTCTCAGTCTCCATTTCTGACAGGAAGATGCCCACGTGCTAACCAGGATGTAGATTTCCATTTCTGGGCTGATTGGCCAGGAGTTTAAATGCAGCAGGGTTGATAACAAGGAGGTGATTGATACAGAATGGAAAATGGTGCTCCTACGTAGGAATGTTACCTGTGTACACAGTAGACCACTGCTGAAAGCAAACAAAATGAGTGTAATTCCCGTTAGCAGCCACTCCCGTTGACTAAGCCCTCGTACCACGTTGCACACCTTGTTTCTGGTCCTTCCAGTGAGTGTGAGGGTTTGGTGGCCTTGGTGCTCACACATCCAGATGAGAAGCGGGTGCGTGGTGCCCACTGTGCCCACCAGCACCTGCTCGTCCTCCAGGTCTCGGCAGGCGAGGGGTGGTGAAAGCCTCTGACCAGACGGAGTGGACGAGAGGCTGGATGGTCGCTGCACCAGCCCCGTCACCGTCACAAAGAGGCAGGGTTAGGACCCCGCCATGATCTGCGTACGAGGCGTGCACACACCCAGGTGTGTTCAGAGCCGTCTGGCGAGTTGCCCACCACGTGTGCTCTGTGATTCCAGGAGGAGTCCCGTTTCTTGTTGGTGCTGAGAAAGTGAGACGGCTGTTCCCGGCGCCAGCCCCGCAGGTGCTAGAAGGGACGGGCTCTTTCCTGTCCCTGGCAGGGGCAGCAGCTGCTTTGCTCTGTGTCCCTCGTGCTGTAACTTCATTCCCACAGATGAGGAGAGGCTAATGTGTGAGCTATTTCCGGAGGAAGACTTTTTTTGGAGTTCACGGAAGGACACGTTTGGGGTGGTCCACCAACCATGTTACAGAAATAACCCACAAGTCCAATAACATGAGGAACCACAAATGGCCACAGAATGTCCTGTTTTCAGTTTTCCTTTTGCTGGAGGTAAGTAGGAATATATAGGTGCCAGAAAGTGGTTCCTTGTTATTTCAGGTACCAGTTACCCAGTGTATTTTTGCTGTAGCTCCGTACTCCGACTTTAAACCATTGAAATGCACGTTGGCACCTTTATCAGATGATAAATAAACATTTCAAGAAAGTCAGCTTTACAGAAATAGAGACACAGATGTAGAGGACAAACTTATGGTTACCAAGGGGGGAGGGGAGGGTGGGATGAACTGGGTGATTGGAATGGACATGTACACACTGCTATGTATAAAATAGGTAACTAATGAGAACCTGCTGTTTAGCACAGGGAACTCTCCTCAGTGCTCTGTGGTGACCTAAATGGGAAGGAAATCTAAAAAAGGGGATGTATGTATACATAAAGCTGATTCACTTTCCTGTACAGCGGAAACTAACACAACATTGCAAAGCAACTATACTCCAATAAAAATTTTTAAAAAATAAAAAAGTCAGCTTTGGAAAAGGCACAGGCCTTTGTAAACATGCCTGGTTCGTGAGCGATTAACTTGGAAATGCTTCCTTCAGGAGAGGTTTTAGACTTTCCTGTGGATTTGTTTTCCATTCCCCTGTAGCATTCTGCCACCAAAAATAACTAAGAATTATCTCTGCAAATAAACATGCACAGCGTAAGGAAGCTGAGCCGAACTGTACAAAGTTCACAGTTGTCTCACAGCTACTCGACCTTTGTGGAATTTATTGTTATACATTTTGCTTTAGTTTACATGGCTCTAGTGTTTTTATCCTCTGCTTTGCAAATGTTTTTAGTAGCCCGTGAGATGCTTTCAACTCCTTCTGTCAGGGGGCCTCAACAAACTGTGCCAGCCACATCTTGAGACCTGAGTGTATCACCCCCTGCAACATATCCAGGAGGGGGTCAGCGCCCACAGCACTAAGTGTACAGCATCCTTTGCCTCTCAGATGAAGCGTGGAGTAGTGCATTAACCTAGGGAAGTGTTATACCGAATTTCTCTTAAATATGTTCAGTATTTGAGATTTAAAAAATCAACTCCTCAAAAGGCATGAGACAAAATTTATGTAACTATAAATATATTACTGCAAATTCAGCAGAACAGCACAATGGCATCTCTTTGAGCAAGTTCCTCAACTTTTCGGAGCCAGTTTTCCTATCTGTAAAGCGGAGATAATCCTCTTTTACCGCCAGGCAGGGCTGTGCAATTTGTGTCGTGTATGAAATGTCAGTCCAGCACGTGGAACACACCAAGCCATCAGTAGACGGCAGCTGCCACCGTCATCGGTCACATCACCAGTGTCCTGTGTTGTCACAGGCAGGATCCCAAGTGCGTCTGTCTCTGCTTCGTAGTTCGGTGTGTTTTGTAAAGAAAGGAAATAGTTTTCTGGGCAGTTTCTTATTCGCTCTCTCAAGTTCTCAACCTTTTAAAAAAACATTCAGTAAAGACCAAAAACATTTATATCCCTTAAGTGTTGTTTAGAAGCTCGAGTTAACGCTGGGACGGATGTGATGGCGAGAGTGGCGCCCCCCCCTCCACCAGCAACATCCCCCACCCCCCGACACATACCCTCCGCATGCAAGGGGCCCGCTGCTCTCCAACGCGCCCAAGCCTCGGAGCAGCGAGTGTGGATGTTACGGAGTATGGTATGCACAGGATGAACTTTCCCTTTGCCTAACCCACTGGTTCTCTCACCCAGAGGACGCCGGCCAAGTCTGGAGGTGTTTTTGGTTGTCATAGCCGGGGCAGGAGGGAAAGGACCGGGGAGATGTACTGCTGGCATCTAGAGGGTGGAAGCCAGGGATGCCCTCAGTATCCTGCAATGCACAGACAGACCCCTCCCAAGAATTATCTGATGCAAAATGCCAGCCCAAGAGAAGAAACCCTGGTCTCAACTAAAGAAGCAACCTCAGCCCGCTAAAGAATCATTCCAAAGTCGGTTAAGTCACTTGCGTGAACCCATAATGTATTTTTCCATAAAAGTGGTACTTCGGTTCATTTGCCAGATTGAGTCACGTCGAGGGCCAGCCTGGTAATGAGCCACCATTTATAGCGTTGTTTTTTAATGGGTTGTGCTCCCCCTTTGGGGTGTGAGCCCAGACTGCTTTAGTCTTAGCAGTGGGAAGACCCTTCCCCATCCCCCTCGGATGAGGATGTGAGGGCTGAGATGCTATTTCCATCCACCCAGTGCAGGGTGCTCTCAGAAGACCACCTACGCCCACTCTCAGAAGAGACTCCTGCCAGCCTGCACGGACTGACGTGCTTGGCACATTTTTAAAAATGGAGATTATCAGGCCAAATGAGCCGGAGGGTCAGATGTTTCCTTTGCCAGGAAATGAAAAGACGGGTTCTTTTCAGATATTATTTATGCCTTGAAGCAAAGCACAACTGCAGGCTTTGAACAGCCCGGGCCTCCCCCCAACCTTCCTGAGCTGAGAGCCGAGCTAATCCCTGATGATCCCAGGCCACCTCTGTCCCACGTGATGTAGGAAGCAGCTTGGTAGAGCTGCCCCAGGACCATGCGAAGAGCCCGCTTGGGAAGCTGGGGGTGGTGTCGCAGGAGCCCTTGCAGCTTGCAGTGTTTATAACGTGGGCCTCTGCAGTGGCTTGGGGGAGCTATCATCTCCTGCAGAAGCCCCGTAACAGGTGCAGCCATGCGGGGCTCCATTTGTTCTCAGTTCTGTTTTGTAAAAAGGCTTGGATCCTTTCCCCTCATAGCTTCTATTTCACATGTTAGAAAATAGACCCCATGCTTACAGACACACGCGCGTGTTTGGTTCTTATTTGAAGAGTGTGGATTCAGTGCGGCATCGCTCAAGTGAGTGTTGCACTTGCTTTCTGTTTGCATAAACGTTATTGGAACTCTCACCACCCAAAGAGTTTTAAGTTGGTTTCAGGAAGATAACCTCCTTGTTTTAGCAGACTGAACTCTCCTCCTTGAAAAGTTTAAGAGCTTCCGTGTCTAAATGGCATTGTGAACAGAGGCTTAATGTTCTCCTACCACCTATCGGGAATGCAGACGAACCACACATCAGCTTGTTGACACTTTCACGGAAAGACATCTTCAAGGAAAAAGAGAAATCCTTTTCTTCTCATAAATAATTTGAGGGAAATTCTAAGAGCTTTTCAGTGGGGCATGGTGTTAATTTTTAATGCTGAGCCATCCTCAGGACGGCTGGAAAGATTGGGGATTTCGGCAGACGTGGGTTTGGAGGGAAGTTGTAGTTACAGCATCTTTGTGATTGTGCTGTCACCTTTCTCATGATGCTCGGGTTCCGGGAAGAGTCGGTGCTGCTGTTTCTGTCCAGCGGTCATTTGGTCGGAAGGTGTTGGCACCGGCATTCGTCCTGATCTGTCATGTCGAGTCACAGTAATCCGTGTGCCATGGCCTTTCCTGGTGGCACGGGTTTTTTTGTTTTTTTTTTTCGGTACGCGGGCCTCTCACTCTTGTGGCCTCTCCCGCTGCGGAGCACAGGCTCCGGACGCGCAGGCTCAGGGGCCATGGCTCACGGGCCCAGCCGCTCCGCGGCATGTGGGATCCTCCCGGACCAGGGCACGAACCCGCGTCCCCTGCATGGGCAGGTGGAGTCTCAACCACTGCGCCACCAGGGAAGCCCGGTGGCACGAGTTTTAACTGTAGCCACGTGACACCGCTGACCTGCTTCTCTAGTTGCTGGATGGTCCCCTGACCCAGTTCTGTCGACATGACCTCGTGCCACCCTCAGTGCCTCCCCCTCCCCGTGCCTGGGCCCCACAGTGACACAGTGATACGAGGTCAGCCGCCTTCCTGGCCTGCGACCCCGGTGACGGCTTCACCCAGAGGATGTAGGCCGTGAGGAAGGCTCTAGAACTGTGTCCCTGGGGAGAAAGATGCTGACAAGGAGATTTTTTTCACTACCTTGATTTTCTTACACTCGTTGATATTTTCCCAGTCAATCTAGGCCTGCCTGATTTGAAGCGTTTCAAGAATTCTAGAAGTGGGTCACAGGCTCCATTCATCTTGCACTTTGGTCGATGTGAAAACCCAGCCTTGCAGTGTGCCTTCCCATCCTCCCAGCAACACACTGTATAATCAGGGCCCCCTTCCCCTGGCGCTCTGCAAGGTGGAAAAGTCATCTGTTTTAAAAAATTACTTCAATCTATTTAAATTTAATTATGATTTAACCGCAAGTGATTTTGTGCACTTTGACACTACCTGCATTCCTTTTTTCTGTGACTTCTCTGTCCGTCTCCTTTCCCTTTTTTTTTTCCTTTTGGGTTCTTTGTCTTGATTTATAGGAGTTCTTTATGTTTCATAGTTATTAAGCATTTGTCTGTCAAATATTCCAGAATTTTCTCCCACTCTTTCATTTGCTCTCAACTTTAGTGTAACAGATGTTACAGTGTAAAACGTTGAATTTGGGAGAAATCCGATCCCGTCAGGGTTCTCTGTTAGAGTTTCTGGGATTCTTGAAATGTTGGAAAAGGCTTTCTGGTCCCAAGGTTAGAAAAATGTTTTCATATCTTTTATTAACTTTATAGTTTTAATTTTATGTTTAGAGTACTTGGAATTTATTTTTAGGTATCACATAAACTAGGAATTTAACTTCATTTTCTTTCAGATGAGTAGTCAGTGATCCCAGTATTCTTCCCCCCGATTTGAAATGACCTTTTCCTTCATTTAAAATTCCCACGCTTGCCAGCATCTTCATCTGGACTTTGAGGTTTCCTCTGCTGAGTGAACCAGGGGTCAGAGCAGGGGACGTGCAGGTGGCGCATCCCCTCTTGGTCTGTACAATGTCTGTCAGCTGCAGCAGTGCACACGGGCTCCCCTCTTTTGCTCACCTGCCCTGCTGCCCCCTCTGGCCTTGGAAGTGCTTCCTCTCCCTCCTACTCCTCTGCCTGCACCCCCGTGCTGCTCGGGACCACACCCCCGCCGAGCAGCATCCTTACCGTCCCCGCTACGCGCACAGGGCACGCGCCACGTGCCCCAGGTTGGCTGCGAGTCTGCAGCCCTCTCGGGGCCCGCTG